GACCATCTGATTACAACAGGTAATAAAGCATGTTAAAAATCACGTTCCTCCAACGTGCAGGTGGAGACAGATGTGAGTGCTGCAGCTGATCTGCTACTCTTTTCCCCTGGAAGTGTTTTCCGTCGACGCTGGAGAGGCCCCGTTCTGTTTCCAGACCTGCTAAACTGTTGCATTGTTTTATGTTTGTGTTTCTTTCTCTGTGCTGTGATTACTTTGAGAACTTGATGGCTTTATCCAGATTGTTTTTAAATTTGTTATGAATTTGAATCATGTGCCATTGTACTCCCACACAAAAAAAGCTAGTGTTAGTGGTCAAGAATATTGTCATTATATTCCAATACAATCTGATGTTCATATATACATTTTTCTTATGCATAGTGACATTACTAAATATTGATACCTGTCTGTCGCTCTGTATGCTGTATGTCAGAGTAATAACATACGCACACAGGAATGGGCTGAAGGAACCTTTTAGTTTGTTGAAAAGTAAATCTGGGGACTTTTGGTGGAAACAACAATTAGTTGTGTAATTCTTGAATCTAACTTCTTATAACATACCACATATTTATTTTCTAGATAATCCGACCATAGTTGCTTGCATTAAAATATTTTTCCACTTTAATTTGCTTCTATAAGGCTCACGCCCCAGTGTGGATGTAGCCTGACAAAAGTAGGATGACATTTGCTGTTCAACACACTGTCATATTATTGCGGCAATCTGTTCACGTGCATCACATTTTATCATCAACACGGCAGCAGCACACAAAGAATGTTTTAATAAATGCTGCAACGCACAGAAAGGTCACCACATTAGCAGCGGGACAAAAGAAACTTTTGTGGTCAGGTGTTGCGGGACAAAAGTAACAAGTGTCACATTCGTCCCGACAGGAACTCCTGACATATAAACACAATTTATTTTTATACAGAAAAACTATGACAGGGCAAACTTCAGGGTGTGTTAAAACACGAAATAACCTGTAGATTAAAAGAGTCCCGCTTCAGAAATTTAGGCTACTTGCTGTGCACAAAAACAGTTTTCCGAAGACGGCTGCGGGAAAGGATGACAAAATCATGTGATATTTGGCAGCTCCATCAAGGGTTGCGTGCTGAAGGTGCTGTCACAGCTTGGACTGCAAACGCAGTCAGGGCTCTGAGGAAATCGTCTTGTTACTTCGCCCCGGTTTACCCCTACAATGTTAATTCCACATTATTAGTATATTGTTAATATTATTTATAGTTAGTATATTCATTAGGATTTCATATGGTTCAGAACTTACTAGTGGCTTAACATTATTTCAGTGGGTTGTTTTCATCTATTAAATCTTTGTGCAAGAAGCACAGTCTACATCCTTTACATAGCCCTACTGCCACTGGCTCTACCAGAGAAAAGAGTAGCAAACACTTTAAATACACCCAGCAGGTTTTTATTTGATTTTATAAAGGTTAAAGATTTACAGGGAAACATTTAACGGGTGGATACCAGGTGAGAACAGAAAAATACGGGAGAATCTCGGGAAAACGGGAGGGTTGACATGAGAGGAGTAGAGAGAGGAGTGGGGTAATGTGAGGCTACATCCACACTGCTACGTTTTTAAAACAGTTTTATAACGAAAACGATCTTCTCCGTCCACAGCAGCGTTTCAGCTGCGCATCAGAGTTGATCTCTGTCTATATTAAAACGACTGAAAACACATCTAGTGGTACACGTTCACGTACACTGGGCATGCGCCTGCCAGTGTAAACATGAAACAGATGCAGTTTCAGAAGATTTGGCAAAAGAAGAAAGTACTACAGACAAATAACCACACCAACAATGAAGTGGAATTGTTACTGAAAGTAACGTGAGAGTAGCTACAGAGTGACTGTGACGGCAGAAAACAGACTGGGAGTCGTCGCAAAGTAAATACGACATGCAGGGGTTAGTTGTACAACAATTCTATTTGATTAATTAAATTATATCGATATACTATAGGTGAACTGTTTATGGATGTATGACACATCCATCTAATCCTCAACCAACCATCCATCATGAGTCCATAAATAGATGACTAGATTGTAGATTTGTAGATATTATCTCTTTCCATCCATGATAATATCCTGTATATCATCAGGAAAGAGAGAGGTCTTTTTATCTATATCATGGTCTTTCATGGATTTATATTCAAATGGATGTACCAATGGACAGATGGATGATATCTATCATCAAAACATATATACATATTGACACCTACTCTGGTGAGTTTTTCTGTGAGCCTGATTAACAGTTGCTAGTAGTTGGTCAGGTGTTTCAAAACTGTACGTTTTAGGCAGGAAAACGGTTATTAAGGTAATCCATGATTGGATTCAGTGACATACTTAGTAATCGAAAATTAAGTAGGCCTATGTCACAGAAATTTACTTTTATGTCGCGAAAAAAGGTATCTTGACAAAAATGAGTCCAATCTCTCTAAATATTCGTGAGGGACCGTCTGCTGGCTCTTTGATAAACTGACCTGAAACAACCTGTTCAACCCTCAGCAACTACGTAAAATGTCAGTGGGTATTGTTTCCAGTTCTCCCCTAAAGCTAATATTTTCATAGACCATAAGAACACATCAAATCAACACATTATTATAGTAGGTCAGGGGTCGTCAAATAACTCTGGCATCAGGGCAATTTTTTTTCAAGCATTACATGACAGTCCAAAACATCGTCAAACTTGTGTACACGTTAAGCTTAATCAGTAATATGCGGGACTCCCGCTGGAAGGTTGAATGATCGATCCCAACTTAGCCTACTACAGATGATTTTTGCCCTTGTTAAACAAATTGATTATAAGGACACTTATGCACATGCTCACAATAAAGCATGTGCTGTGCTGCAGTGTGTGTGCGCGTCCTGACGTTTTATCTGTAGGCCTAAATAAACCTATGGAGGCTTATTTTAATTTCCCTGAGGATACTCAGGGAATTCACATGTTTACTGACGCTTTTTCAGAGGTGTGTCAAGCAGGCCAGAGTCTTCTGAATGTCCTTCAGAATTTTTCAAAATAAGAAATGATAAATTTTGGAGGCACAATCACTTAAGAGGAAGTTATTGTGGGAGTAACTGTAGCTGTCTTGACTGAGATCTGTTTCAGCACCAGCCACTATCAATTTATTTATTTAAATTTTTTCTGCTATCAAAGCAATCTTGCCGCCGGCCAGATCTTATTGCTGGCGGGCCGGTTCTGGCCCGCTGGCCGCCCATTGCCGACCACTGGTTTATGCTGTTCATTTAGGCATTCACGCATGTGTCAGCTGCCGCTGTGCTACTTAGACTATTTGTCCAATATTACAGTTTGCTCTTTGTTTGTAAAATATGCCGCTCCGCTGCCAGTGGACTTGCTCATGTCTGCGATGATAACCAGCTTTGTGTGATCGCTTATCCTGGTCGCGAATGTTAGGATTAGTGAAGCCAGATAACGAAAAGATATCCTGGGTATGTTAAACTCGCTTCGTGGTGCAGGCCCCAGGTGTGTCGCATGTGAATTCAAACCAACGTGGAATGACTGGTGTGTTCACTGTCACTCTGTGTTTATAAAACGTTCACCGTGTCTGCGCCGTGTGACCAATAACATCTCTGTCTGTGTTTCTTTGTAAAATACTAAAATTGGTCACCAAACATACTTTACCAGCTGTTAATATATTGTGGGAAACACTGTAATTTTTAAAGTTAAGGCAAGCTGTAGGCCTATATTTTGTAAATATTACACCGTTAAACCTATTTTATTGTCTTCAAACTGTGTGTGTCAAATACCTGTAATATGTGGTTTCCATAGTCTACCAGGCTGCTACAGTCAGGTAATATTAAATATCTGGGTGTCAATATTTCCTCTAGGCTGTCAGAACTGACATGGTTAAATTACACCATCCATCCATTGTCAACCGCTTACCCTGCAGGGTCACGGGGGGCTGGAGCCAATCCCAGCTTACATCGGGCGAAAGGCGGGGTACACCCTGGACAGGTCGCCAGTCCATCGCAGGGCCGGTTAAATTACAACCTTCTGCTTAAATCAATAGGATAGAAGAGGAAGACCTCGTGTGATGGACAACATTGCCCATATCACTCATGGGAAGAGTCCACACCATAAAAATGATGCTCCTGCCCAAAATCAATTACCTGTCTTCAGTGATTCCCACCAAACCGTCTGCTGTGTGGTTTAAGTCACTGGACTCGAACATCTCTAAATTTTTATGGGAAATAAATAAAGCTGGTGATAAAATTATAACTCAAGTCTCAATGAGCCCACCCCCAAACAGCTGGGGGGAAACAAGGGCAGATAACTCCTGCACAAGTCATAAATGTACAAACTAATCTGGCAAGAAGTATATCCTTAATCAATAAATTCGACAATAACGTAAATGCTTTTCAACACTTCGTAGATCTGTACAAGAGCTTACCAAGACAAGTGCAACGATAACGATAAGGTATTTTCCTCATATCCAGCAGGAATTTGATACAGTCTTTGTCTCTATATGCATTCAAATAGATTCCTGGTATATTGTAGCCATATTGTCACTTTCACTAATGCTTGCAACTGAGGTAATAGGCCCCAGCAGGCTGCTATTAAAGAATGTACAGCAATTGTCCTGGTGATACTGGGAAAATGAAAAAAATGCTAAACTGTTATAATATGAAACCTGATCCTGAATACACAAGGAAGGTGTATACACTAATGCTAATACATAACACTAAACTCCGGTGAGAAGACTAATGTAAACATAAGTAAATGAGTAAGTTTGTGTGTCTGTGTGTGTGTGTGTGTCCGCATTACAATCTATGTGTATGGCTTAGTGCTGTTGGCTTAATTCATGAGTCAAACCATGTATTGTGAGTGTGAATAGGGCTCAGTGGCAGCGCAGGGGATTAGCATGAGAATGGTGTGTGAGTGCTGGAAGGCCAGTGCTTCGTTTCTGTCACTCTGCAACTCATGCTCTATCAACTCAGCCCTCTACTCCTCAAAACAGCTGTGGCTCGGCTTGGCTCCCCACCTCAGTCATTGTTGCCTGCTCATAATCTTCCTCATCTCTCTCCTGGCAGGAACTGGAGACAGCATGGAGAATAACCACACCTTCCTGTACTTTGCATATGGCAGCAACCTGCTGAAGGAGCGACTCCAGCTCAAAAACCCCTCTGCAACAGTACATTGTGTGGCAATGCTCAAAGTACGGTCTGTTATTAGGTGCACCAACATTCTGTCTCATATTATCTGTGCACATGTACTATGTAACTGTTTTTTTTTCTTTTTCAGGACTATAAATTGGTGTTTGGGAACCATAAAGGCCTTGCCAGTGTCAGGTGGCATGGAGGTGTGGCCACCATAGAGCACAGCCCTGGGGACGAGGTATGGGGTGTGGTGTGGAGGATGAACATGTCTGATCTGGAGTCTCTAGACAGGTAAAATGGTTTTTCTTTACCAATGTCTTTAATGGCTTCTCATGGAATTCCTTCAATGTATTCCTGAAAAAATGACATGTACCATGTTTGTGTTTTTATGTGCATGCATATGTGTACACTCTCAGTCAAGAGAATGTGATATTAGGTGCGTACAGTCCTGTGGAGTTATCAGTCAAGACAAAAGGCCAGGAGCTTAACTGTCGGACCTACATAATGAACAGCTGCGTGTATGCCCCACCATCACCACAATACCTACAGGTAAGGCTGCTTTCACTACATCCTTGATTTTAGACTCAAAGCACTTAAATTTAATTCTTGAGGAGTGATTCCAGTTACAAATGTCAAACTAATTCTTCAACTCTTAGAAATTAATTGTAAAGTAAAGTAAGTCTATAGGTTTTACAGGATATGTTATTCTCCATTTTTATTGTCAACAAATCCCATAAACAATGTATGTCTCACTCTCTTGATACTTTATTTTGTGTAAATGCTCTGTAATTGTATAGCACCTTTCTGTCACTGTAGCATTGAGCCTAAGTGCTCAAACAGAAACTAACAAATTCACACACTTTATTAGACTGGTGGAACAACCACCAGTATCTTGCCGAAAGACACCTTAAGATGTAGCGTGGAGGAACCGGGGATTGAACCACCAATCTTTCGATTAACGGGCAACCCGCGCTTACTGCTGTAACTGGTTGAGATGGAGAGCTTATCTATTTAAGATACAGTTGGCTGACCTTTGTTAAGAAAAACAAAGTTCTGCTATACAAATCTGTTATAATTTTTAGGACTTTTCTCTAATCATTGCTTTTTTTGTGAAATAATGGATCATTTTACCTCTTGGGCCTCAATCTAAGACAACAAACTTAGTTGTAGTTTAGAGGGGAAATATCTCAGAGGTGGAACTCATAGACTGAAACATGGTTTGAACTGAAACAAGGTTTCCCCCCCAAACTTCCTCAACACTACTGTATCTCTGAACTTACTCTTCAACCAAATCACACACATTTGGGTTATTTTTTGTGATATCCTTCTGATAATTAATTATAAGAATATATTTTCACTTCCATTCACTGAGGCTCTGAGACAGTGTGGAGCCCCCCAGGGGAGGCCTGCCTTCAGCTTTGAAAATGTCTGCAGTAGAGTAAAAAGTATACAAGTAATATATTTTCAAGGGAGGATTAATCCACATTTGGTGCTCACATGATTGATCCAAAATAAAATAAAATGTGTGTGTTAATGGCAGAGATGGGGACTCAAGTCACACACAATCAGACTTGACTCCTTAGAAGACTTAAGACTTGACTCAATATTTGGGACTCTATTTTATTTTTAATATGTAGTTTGCCGAATTAACATTAAGAAAATGTCTCACGAGCTGAATATAACTCTCCCTTATCATCATGCCTAACATTACGCATCCGGTGTGCAGCACATAGGTAATGCATAACACCATGGCGAGCACACCTGCTGCTGCAGTGCCATTTGTTGTAACCATTGGCTCTAACTGTGCATTCAGACCAAATGCGAATTTAATCCATGCAACGCTTCCCTCGGGAGGGTTTTAGCGCTGGACATCCCTGTGTTCACACACAACGCGATAGCATTTTGCTGTGATTAAATAGCAATAAACGGATCAAACTGATGCCAAAATAACTACAATATGATACAGATTTGTTAAACATATGAATTCATGCTTTGTCAGGTCTGTCAGCAGGACAACAACTTCTAAAATGTTTCTTTTCTGAATGGAGTTTGGATCGATCAGGGCTATGCTGTGCTACCTTGGTCCCAGTAAAGTACAGCGATAGCTGGAATAAAGTTAGAGACACATGTTTTCTGAACTCACGAGGTAGTTCAACCTCCTCACTTTATTTTCTCCCAGCAATGTCCAGTTTTGTCCAGTTTTGATATAAATATGAAGTAGTGCCAAACGACGCTAACAACACTGAAACAGGATGTGCACGGAATCTAGCTGCTGAGAAGCTCCAGTGAAGATAAATCAAAGTTGCAATCCTAAAAACTAAAGTAAAAAGCTAATTTAATAAAAGCAGTTTACTCCGAGCTCCTCCAACGAGCAAGCAGCGTAGTTAATAAGCTGCTAGCATAATCCAGTCCAACTACGGGTGTTTATTTGTCCAAAAGCTGGAGTGCTGCTCCCTGCTCCTCTAACCCAAGTTTAGCAGCTCTCTGTGGGTCAGCAGATTTTCAATCACCCGCTCTGCCTGGCCCTCTCCACACAACGCTCTGAAGCTGTTGGTGATGTACGGACAATCTCAACATTGATAGGCTATTGCGACTCAGTGTCATGCAAATTTCTCGCTTGAGTTGAAAATATTCAACTCACGCGTAGCCTTCGTGTCGGCAGCACTGCCCCCTTCGCGTCGCTTCGCTCCGCCCGACAGGAAATCGCGGCTCTACTCGTCTTTGCATTGACTTTGTATGTAAACTCACCGCCCGAACATCGCTTTGCTTTTCGTCTGAAAGCACCATAACAACTTCACATAAGAACCCAACAAAAGAATCATATAATATAACATCTGTTGTACCAAAATAAAGAATGCTGGATCGACCACATCAAACTTTAACAAGGACATGAAAACGCACCCAGGTAGGTGAATCACCTGGGACCTCATTTATAAACAGTGCGTACGCACAAAACAGGGCTGGAAACAGGCATATGCCACCTTCCACGCAAAGGCTGTGATCTATAAAAAGCCAAACGCTGTGCGCCAGCGTGTGGGTGTGATGCGCTGCTTGTTAAAACATGGTATGGTAAAATATAACACTATTTATTAATTAAATCTTTAAGTGTACTGCTTGTGTCACATGAAGCAAGTCATATTTCTTTTAACTCACCAGCAGCCTCGTTAAGTGAGTGGACTGTTTGTGTAGACTAAATAAATGTGTAAACACAAGTGGAATGCATTTGGTTTCAAATCCAAATTAGTCCCTGGGTTATCCCGTCTTGCATTTCTGTATCCCCCTCCACCTCCGTCACCACTCAGGAGGGATGCACCTTCCCGCAGATCGGTTATAAAGGGGTGGAGCTCCGGGGCCCCCTTTCCTCCGGTGCACAAGCGTTCCGTGTATGTGCGCCTTTTACCCTTTTACCAACGAAATGACAAACTTCAGCTTCACCAAAAGGAACGTCAGTGTCACACTGAGTTTTGTTTTGTAGCGTTTCTGTCGGAACTTGCCGTCCTTATCTTCATGTAGTCAGTACGTTAATGAATGAATGATATTAGTGAGGGCCGTCTCACTGACCATTTATAGGCAACTATGGGCGTTTAAAGGGTCGGACAAGGAGCTCACTCATATACGCAACATTTCAAGTTGATTGTGATTTATAAAGGGAAACTGGAGTAGGATGTGCGTGCGCACTCCTGGAGGGTTAGCAAACATGTTTAGCTCAGCATCAGCTATGTAATGTTAGTTTTCTACTAACTTTGTGGCTAAGGGAGGTTAACTTGATTAGACTGGCATTTGCTGAAGGTTTTTAAATTTAAATTTTTAATTTTAGATGAGTGTTTGCTTGCCACACTTTTTTGCATGCTGGCTTTGCCATGGTTATAAAATAAATGGTCGGGTAATGTAATCATTCACATCCGCTAGCTAATGTTAAACTGAGAGAAAGATCATGTTAATGTCTGCTATAGGCAGGTTACAGGCTTATTAGGTTTCCATTATTATATTATTTTTTAGCCAGTAGCTACTTAGTTTGTACTCAAGCTATATATTCATGTTATAAAATTATGGATGCACATCTCACTAAATAGTAAGCATCACATATTCAGCTAAGTCATTTTATAGTATTTTATATTTGAAAATGTATTAAAGGAAACCTGGAAGATCCTGTTTGAATGGGCCTGATGGAGCTGATAACATTAATATATAGAAAATCTCAATAATTTACAGGGGCTATGCTTAAGTTTGTCAGTAGAGTAGATGTGGGGTCATCCGTCAATACAAGCACAACCAGAGATGTACAGCCAGCAGCAACAAGCAGCTCAGACCCTAATGGAACAGTTGCTGCTCCACCAAATGACCCAGCAGATTGGCCACAGTTTTAACAGACTTCATGAGGACTGAGTTAGTGCGCAGGGGTCTATTCAAACCAGTACTAGATTTTTCTAGAAGTGGTTTCCATTTAGGCTTATTAAAGGGAGAGCATTGTAGTGAGAGCATTGTGGTGTCATGTGTGACTGCGCAGCAGACTGGTGTAGGTATCAGATGTGCTCGGCTGGTCAGATCTGCTCGGGGTCCTGCGTCTGCCAGTAACATCACACTATGGCAGCGCGCCTCGGACAAACTACATTGTGCACAATTTACATATTTATCAGATCTGCTTTGGGTTTCTATTGATAAATATATCTGCTTTTATTAGGGCCCGAGCATGAAACGTGTGAGGTCGCTATTGAAACTGACGGGATTTTCTTTCTTTCTTTCTTTCTTTCATCTGCAAAGTAACCTCAATTTTGGGGGCCTAAACATACTTGAAAACTCACCAATCTATGCAAATTAGTCTTTTATGGGTTTTGCTCATGGGCGTAGCAAAATGGCTTTCTAGCGCCCCATACAGAGCAGCCCCCGAACAAAGTTTCACCGACGTGTACAAAATTTCTCTGGTACGTCATGTCCAGAAGTACAAAAAAGCCTTTTGGAGCCATTGCCTAAACCCAACAGGAAGTCGGCTATTTTGGATTTAATGGTCATTTTTAGATGATTTACACACTCCATACTTTAACAAACTCCTCCTAGAGAATCAATCTGACCGACTTCAGATTTTCGCTGTCTAGTCGAATCTCACAGATTATTAAAAGTTGTACAAATGATGAGTTTTCGTGAAACGGCATGCCCATGGCGTAGCATCCAAAATCCATGATTTGCCATGAAAGAGGAAGTTGTTGTAACTTCAGTGTACATGTTCTCATCTGCACGAAACTTGACATACTTGATAACAGTCATGCCCTGAACACATCTACATGGCAATATTCAGTTATAGTCATAGCACCAAGTGCTATGTAGCGCCACAAAGGGGACACACAAAGTGATGATTAACACCTTTGTGCAGCGTACGAAGCATGTAGGAAATTCATAGCCGCGCCAGCAGAGCTCCAGAATATGTAACGCGGCTGCCTCACACCTCGCCGCGCTACATGTGCGAGGGCCCGCCCATTGCTGCTTGCAGCTTTAATTTCACATTTGCATTAAGGTAACAATGTACAGACACACTTTAGCTTAATTTGATCGGC